AAAGCTCTTTCCTGTACATCAGATACCATTATATGCCATTTTTCCCCATGTAAAAAGTTATAGTTTCATTTTACAGGAGAGCACTAGACACATGGCTGCTTTAGCAAGAGAATGTTTAAAACAAAGTGGGACATGCTGTTTTTGTTAATTGGTTTAAGAGCAAAACAACTGCTAATACTTATTCTTCTATTGCAGCATCCATTTTTTAAACATCTCTTCACCTCAGGTGACATGGTCTATAAAAAGAGGTGAAATTGTTAATAAAAATGCTGATACACACATTGGAATTGGAAAGTTTTGTGATACAGTTTAATAGATTCAACATAGTTTAAGCAGCAACCTGTCTAAAGATGTTCAACTTACCTAGCAGCTCCTGTGTGAATTAAGACTCATTAAATGGCCCAATTTATAGGGCATGTAACTTGAGATTCATCTTCTTACCTACAGAGAGCACAAAGAATATATCATATGATATGAATTGGCATATAAATGGAAATTGAATGAACTTTAGCTTGAATGATAGGGGGAACGTTTTCTTCAAGAGGTAAACATACTTAAAACATGAGGAAAGTACTTGAAGGTACTTTTGTAACTTGTAGAAACACTTTCACACATTTTAAAACAGCAACCCTGGAACAGAACAAATTTCTCCATTCATATTTGAAATACCTAATGTTTCCACAGAGTGGGTGTGCAAATGTCACAGAAGATAAGCCTAACAAGTCCACCTGAAATATAATATACTCACCAGGAACACCACCACCATTTTTGTTAGACGGAGTTAACAAAAAAAAAAGTTAGACTTATCAGTCATAATGACCCAAGTCTCATAACTAAACAGAATCTCACAATTGTAGCAGCAAAGGCAAATGACAGTGGTGCATCTGCAGCACTTGTAGAGGAGACAGCTAGAGAGACACATGCTGAAATAACTTACAGAATACTCCAGGGGAAGTTCATGTGTCAAAAAGAGCAGTTTTCTCCAGTGGAGCAAGGACCTTTCAGTGAAGGAAAAAAGCAGCTTTATGCCAGTCCTGTAAGAGCAGAAGCCCAAGATGAAGAGCATCACTGAAATGCAAATGGCCTTGCCAAGTGTTTTACACTGTTCTCAGCCCTGTGCAGTGAAGACTTTAAGGAAAGGTGTTTGTGTCTGTGCTCCAGTTCAACCAAGTCAGATGTGGCCACATCATGCTTGTGGTGTCAGGCCAGCATCCTGATGTTGCAGCAAGGCCAGCAGCCAAGACAGCTGGGGAATGAAGTCTTTGAGACTGGAAGGGGAATGTCAGCAGATCTGTATGAGTCTAACCAATGCTACTGGGTCTAAGCAAGGCTGGATCACCTCCACGGGCACTGTGCACCCGTGCCTGCACTTCCACACCCACCTCAACCTCTGATGTGTGCCTCAACACCTTTGTCCTTGGTGGTGTGCCCACAGATGCTGGATTAAATCCTGCTGCATTGTTTAGTGAGTGCCCTTGAGGGCAGCAGTCCTGTGAAAAACAAACAGGCAGTGCCCAGTTGTATGCACATTGACAGAAGAGGGCTGTTTAAAATTTGCACGAGTTGCCTTTGTTTCAAGTTTCTTGTCAAATTTCAATTTTCTTAGCTTTTGAGTGTTTGATGTAATGCTTTCAACATTCTTCTGGCAGAGATTTTTTAATTTTTGGGGAAAAAGGCCCCACCAAAATCAAACAGAGAACATGAGACAAGGCAGCTCCTGGGTTCTAGATGAGCCCTGGAAAAGGTCACTGGCAGACCCTGGCCCTTTGCATCCATGGTGAGAACAGCTTGAACATTTAACTGCACCTGGAAGAAACCACAAGTTAGGCAAGTACAAGAAGAGGAGGAGGTTTGGCCTGCAGTTGTGTGTTTCACATGCTGACTCAGGGCCTGGGAAACCAGGGGGGCACAAAAAGTTTCTTGTGATAGATGCCTGAGGAAAAACTGATGTAGATTGGACAAACTGTAAACCTTTCTTGTCTTGCTTTTCATCAGCATATTAATAAGATAGTGCAAATTAAATAGATATTTAAACACATCTTAATTTCTAATATGCTTGTTTATGATTGCTTAATAGACTGTTTTATATAACTACCATAGCTTGTAAACTATTTTCTGATCTTTCCTTGAACCACATCATCTCACAGAGGCCTCGCAAGACCCAAGGACACAGATCTGATAAAGAACAAACTATTTTTGGTATTGAGGTAACTTTTCTTCAGTTTCCACATCAATCAGTAAGAGGTTTCCTAGTTTCAGTGGCAGTGAAGCAAACGATGGCTGTTCTGAGTAGGTTGTGTCGTGCAGTGTATGTAGGCAAAGGCAAAACCTGCTAAGGACAGAGGCTGGCCAATGCTGCTTTCTTAGCTGCTCTGAGAAACACAGACAGAATTGAATGGCTGCATGATCCTTCCATAAACCTGTTTGTTAGCTTGCCTTGGTATACTTAATCTCCTGAAAGTTAAGTTTTTTCTTCCATAGTGCTATTTACAGGTAACCTTAAAAATTATATTCTTATTCTCTGTTTGTATTTAAATGCCCCCAACCCTAGCAATATTTTCTGTTTAAGTTGATTTTGTTCCATTCTACTGTTATTTCCAGACTACCTTGTTTCCACCTTGTCCTGTGTTTGCTGCATTTCAGAATAATTGTCAGACTGTGCCCACCAACTCTCTTCTGCCTGGCATAGCAGGAAGAGCACAGAGCATGGGGAGGCACGAGCTCCCATTTCTCAGAGCAGGGCTAAGACTATTTTTGCTGAGCACTAAAAGCAATTCAGCAAGATGTAGACACTTAGGATAGCAGGCTTCAACAGGCATTTTAAAAAATGAAATGATGAGCAGCATTTTAGAGCAGAAAGTCTTGATTTTACCTGTGATCAGCGTACATGAATGCTACTGCCATCTTGCCCACGGCCTTAGGTGAAGGATGTAAGAGGAGGGCTCTGGATGGCTCTGATATGTCACTTGGTGCAGCTCAGCTGGGAAAAAACACAGAAGCTGTTTGGCCAATGGAAAGCAAGACAATATCTCATTTCTTTAATAGCCAAACAGTTCCCATTGCCACAGCCTCCTCAAGGGTTAAGGTACCTTTGCTCTGCAGTGTTGTTCAGCTCCTGAGCCACTAGAGATGGGTGAAGCTTCATTCCAGGTTTCACTTGGCATCACAGCTGGCTCACAACCCTTGAGGCAGAGTCTGCCAAACCCTGGTTTCCTAACAGACACTTCAAAAAAAAAAAAACATCCCAGTCCTCTTATCATTTTTTTAAGGTGCTGCTGTAATTTCCAAGAATCCTGTATCTATTGTGTTTTGAAATCAGCTGTGTTTGTGTAGCTGTTGGCTAACAGGATTTTATAAAAGTATGCTTCAGCTTCTGATGATGAAAAATCACTTGCAACCTGATACTCTGAGGTACAGCTCACAATTTATACAGGATAAGGGAGCCCTGCCAGCCTGTGTCACATCCTGCCAGTTAGGGTCACAAAAGGTTGAATTGGAACTCAGTTTTCTCAAGAATCATGGCGTTTTTTAAATCAAGTTTCTAAAAAAATCAGAAAAAATTGTGTTTGCTGTAATCAATGGTAAATTTCTTCACATGTGGTAGGGATTGATGAGGGCTGGTGTTATCTTCTCTGAGTGGTGTACTTCTAATTACATTACACCATTATAAAAGAGGATATCACTCTAGACCAGAGAAAATTCTCTCTGAAATAAATATCCATAATTTTTTTTAGCCTGTTTATGCTGTTAAACATACCATATTAATGGCATCATTATATTCAATTTCTCTTATGTGAGACAGGGCAGAGCTGGCAGTGAATGGGACTAGACCCTACCCCTCTTCCTCAGGGGAGGCTTTGAACATCTGGGACTGCCCAGAGTCAAGTCCAGCTCCAGGGGCTTCCTGCACAGAGCCGAATGTGGGACAGGAGATTGTGTTTGATGCACGAATTTTAAAGCCAGTGCTTTCTTTCCCTTCCCCCCCTCAGGCAGTGTGTGAATGAGGATGGATGAGTCCAGGGCTTCCTTTGTGCAAGGTGAGAATGTGAGAATTTGCTGCTGGTGGTACTCTGCTGAGCTGCCCTGCTCACCAGCTGCCCAGACGGACCAGCAGTGAAAATATTATGTGAAATGTTGCTTCTTGGTGCTACCAGATTTGAGTTAAAGTCTGTCTGTGCTGTTGCTTGGTATATAACATCAGCAGAGAGTGTTGTGTTTGAAATGATTGAACTTCCAACCTTAGCTGCCTTCCCAAAATATTATCTGCTTTGCTCAGTGTTTTGGGAAAAGACAGGTGGCCTTCTAACACTGCAATCTCATGTTTTTCTGAGGGAATGTGCTGTTTTAGCAACAAAATGCAATCTTTAGCATTTTATACGCTCTACCTACTTGAATTGAGTGCAATATTTATCTTTGTGTTTTATAGAGAGTAGCCTCTGAAACTAGAAAAATTAATTGTATCTAGTATTATTGATATTTCTATAAAACAAAAGGTGGATGCTAGTGAATCAACAAGTGATTCACCGTGTGAATGTGACACAGGCTCTGTGATTGAAAGTGATGTCCAAAACCTGAAACCTTAATGGCTCCAGTGAAGTCAACCTCTGTGCATCTCTTTTGAGGCAGAAACTGTTAAGTACTTCAAAATGATTCCAACTATGACATCATGGGCAAGTTTAACTTTAGCATTTCCAATCTCCCAAGTCAAACCTTGGAATTTTCCTCTAATCTTCACAAAGCTACAGAGACAGTCTGCCATGAGAAATGAATTCTGAGGTATTCCCAGCCCTCCAAAAGAGAGAAACACATCAGGCGCATCAGCTCAGGCACATTTTAATCATGTTAATCACCTAGAGCATTTGGCATTTTCCTAAGGCTAAAAAAATCACAATACGATTTGTCTTATGTTTTAGGATCCAGAGAAATTGCAAGAATTTAATCAACCTGAAACACAGATACTCCATTGTCTCCATACTCTGAGGTGGCTGGAAGGCCATTCTTTAAAATTCACAGATTGTGAGACGGTACATATTGCATTTTTTGTCATTCCAGGTGCCATCAGTGTACATCTCCACACATTTCTCTTTCCCGTCGCCATTAGGCTCACGCTGGTGCCAGTTGCTGTAACTCAGAGGCATGCCATTTATATACTTCACCTGACCTGAAATCTCCCCCTTTCTAATGCCCAAGTAAGCATACTGGTTATGCTCTTTCACAATGTCCATAACAGCTTTATTCTCCTCCTCATTCTTGGGAGCTGCAAGAGTTCCTCCAACCTCTTCACAGGATTGTAGTGCAGATGCAAAGTCAGCTTTCTTCCCATTGCTAGCAAGTATTTTCTCTCCTACTTTTCTTATTTTCCCATTCAAAGAAAGCACTGAAACATGAAAAGAGTTAGCTTCGTAAATTTTCTATGCCATACTGATGTAAAAGCAAAGAAAGAGAAATCAAGAGATGAAAACTAAAAGTGCTAAGAGGAACAGAGGGAAAAATTGAGCTAAGGATGAAGAGAAATGAAGATCTTTAATTTTACCCATTCACTAACTGTTCACTAAATGTATTTTGCTGCTTGTGACCATCTGTCCTTGTCTCCAAGACAAGAATGTCCCACCAACATCTGCTAAATATAACCCCTGTTATATTTTGTGTACTTTCTAAAGATCAGTGTGCTGCAGATTTGAGCAAGGCAAACAGAAAAATGATAATTGCTTTGTGAAAATTTTTTCCCTTTTCAGTACAAAACAATTTACCATCTTTAACAATCTGGTTGCTGATAGATGAAAATGGTACAAGACTGAGTTTCCAAGAATCCACGTGGAAAGTGCAACAACAGGTAGTTGGAATATTTTTAAAAATAAACCCAATTTGAATAAATGTGCATTATGATTGCCAAGAGGAATCTGCTTCTCTCCAGGGAAATAAGAACCATGACTTCCCCTGCTTTGAGTGAGAAAATGGAGTTTTGGGATGTAGCACCCTTTCTAAATGCAGTTTCTTTCCTGCAAGTCGTGATTCTGTAACTAGCTTTGCCTATTACACTTAAAATTGATTGTGAGCTGAAAAAGTAACAAGGGGAAGAATTACCAGCCTCAAGTTGGAAAAGTCGGTGTTTCAAGTTTGCTAAAGCATCGTGGCGTTTGCTGGCCAGAGAATCAGGCAGACCTATATGGATAAAAACAAAAGTTAGACAGTTATACTAGGCTGTGTTGCTAGGAACAATCCCCTGAATAAAACTAATTATTTTCCAGAACTAACTTGCAAGTGTATTTTTTAACATCAGCAAGTGTAAAATATATATTTCCCAGTATTTTTTTCACATTGTTGTTAATCTATATTAAAGCAAACTAACAAAAATATCTAATTCTCTGAAATGCTGATAATTCCCCTCTGCAGAAAAGAAACTGAAGCTTTACAGGTTGAAGCCTTTTGCTAGTTTATCTGTGAAACTGGCTTTGCCAAAGAGAGGTTTCATTCTAGTAATTGATAATTACAGCATGAGGGATGCTTTAAGGAGGAAACAGTTTCTGTGGCACTGTGTGATTTTCTTTTTAAAGTGCTGGGTGTTTATCTTGCTTTAATGGGAGCCATAAGCAGTGGTAGTGGAAGGTTTCTGGATACTGTGAAATACAGCCAGCACTGCTTGCTAAAGATGGGGACCCACTGTAAAGGTGGATTTTTTTTCATACCACTTTCCAGAGGTAACGGAGGTCCTACACATAGAATAAAGTCACTAATGATCACTCTCATGATCATAATCCACAATTCACAGCTAAAACAAACAGCAGTGTAGAAGCACAAAAGGTTGCTGCATCCCCAGCAACATTGCAGCTCTTACTGGACTTCACAATCCATTTAAAAAGCCCCATATTTGACCTAATACAGGGAGTCTGGGAATAATTCTGGTAGTGCTTTAGCCTTGTCAGCAGACCTGGAGAAAGCATTTCTGCATACATATAAGATATTTATGTTAGAGTATTTCTTCCCCCAGAAGAGAGAGGAGACCTGTTTTTTTAGAAATAAAAATTAAACTGCCTATTTCCTCCATTCTCTTTTCCTTCCTGTGCTTAACACATCTGCTCCCTTGAGAGCACGTGTTCTTCTGTGTTTTCTGTTCTAGCCATTCAGCCTCTGTGAGGTGGGTCTCTTCCAAAAGAGGCAAGTTTGCTTACCTTTCAGACCATTCCTTCCAGGTAGCCCAGAAATGCCTGGGCATTTACTCGCTGCCTGGCAAGTCACTAACAAAGCAGCCAGTGCTATGAGGATGTAGGATGAGTAAGGCAACATGATTTCTCAGGTCAGCTGTAAAAAAACCCCACACATTTGTCAGGCAATGATTCTGTAAGAAATTGTAGACATTGGTTTATACAACTGCACACTCCTCCCCCCATCATCCCTTCTTGAAATTTACATTATTTCCTTGCTTAAATAAAGTTTATAGTTCAGGTGTAAGAGATTTCCCAGATTTACTTTGCAACCATTGTGTAGTTTATACGCAAAACTCTTTCTAGACTGATAAACTTTCTAGGCTGATAAAATGAGTAGTGAAGATAAATTATCCCTTTCACTATCAGTGACTATTTATTGGATTAATCCTTGAGAAATGACAGGCTGAGAGGTAACTGATCACACTTAAGCCATCAGCTGTCTGCAAGGACTGTAATCACTCAGTGATGCATAGGGTATTAACCTGAGAGGCAGATCTGTCACAGAGGTGCTGCTAATGTCTGGGAGCTTGTTAAAGCACAACGCTATCTAAGCACATTTATTTGGCATAAACTGATGCTGTTTTACACATGGGCAAAACTTTATAGCTCAATTGACATTCCTGTCCTGTTTTGAACAAAATTCAACAAGCTTGAAAATGTCAGTTAATCTTGTAGGAAATGCATTTTTGCTGGTTGGCAATAGGCTTATTCATCTTATTTTATCCCTACAGATAAAACATTAACTAGGGTTTTAATCTTAGTGCTGAGCTATCGTGACTAAAAAGCATTTTAAAACTGTACATTGTGGGTTGTTTACAGCAGAGTGAGTGGGTGTGCTGTGCAGCTGTGAAACCTGAGGGACTGTAAGATACTGTGGCATGGAAATATCCAGTTATTGACATCATTCAGTTAAACTAACAGAAGACATAAAGAAAGGTTCAAGATGCCAGAATGGGTATCTATTTCCAATGGGGTGATGCTCATGGGTTGACTCATACAAAACAAATAACTTAATATCCATTACTTCATTTTTCTATTGACACAAATCAAAGAGGATCCTGTACCTGCTTGCTCTTAAAAACTTCCATCTTTTTTTTTTTTTTTTAAAATCAGCATTTACACAAACTAGGTTCTAAATCTAGCTCCACTTAAAATTTAAAATAAAAGCTTGGTAGGCTTGGATGCTGTAAGATTATTAACACCTAGGTTCATCAAGCTATAACAAGTTATTTGCTATTACATTTCAAAGCATATATGCCAAGCAGAATCAGAATATCAGTCTAGTGTCATTTACTAAGTGATGTGAGCTTTTAAAAGAAAAAGCATTGTTTATATCTTCCATATTGACTCTGATATAGAAGACTTCTGAGATTATTTTTAATCTGCATCAACAGCAACTTGTTTTTCTAGGGGAATGTCTCCTCAACATCAATCTGATGCGACATACCCTTGAATTGTAGGAATATTCAATTATGTCATGAATTTGCAGCATACAGGCTCTGTTTAACTAATAGCAGTATGGTCAAGAATTTGCACTTTAAAGAACGTAAAATCAAATCCACCTGAGAGCACATGTGCAGCACTAAAGGTGCTGCTGAGGTTGGTTTGTTGAATTTGAAGCATCTGGAGTGGTTTACCCTTTACTGAAGGCCAGCAGACACCTCTGGAAACACTGGCCAGTGACTCAGATTATTAAAGACCCTAACAGAAACCTACCTTAGGTGGCTAGGAATACTCACATCCTTGAGATAAGGAAATGCAATTACAGCATGTACCCTTGGCCTGGTGATGATCATTCAGGGAGTTCCGTTTGAATGGACTACTGCATGCAGCTCATAATTGGATTATGATGCAGAGTCAGACTCCTGATCAGTTATATAACAAAACTGAAAAAACACAGCCCTTCAGTTTTAATCCAGTTTTAATGACCTTCATCAGTCATTATTATCTAGTGTCCTTCAGGCATCTCCTTATCTACCCAAATTGCTAGTATAAGCAAAGTAAAAAATTACTAATAAAGGGAAATTTAATTTTAGAATGTAAATATGACCACAGAAATCAAAAGGAACAGGTTTGCCTTCTAGCTGAAATTCTTTGTGATTTATTAAAAGGAAATTCAACTTACCCTTCTGCTTCAAAATGAAATAGAAAAGCAGTTCACACAAATTCCCTTTATATAGTGTGGTGTTTGTTAAATGATATGGCTGAAGTGGAGACTGGATACTGAGGCCACGAATGAGCTTTTTCAGTTTTGCTCACATATTTGTTATGCAAATACTGAGGTCAGTTTTAAGGGTTGAGAAATTTCTCTTTTTTTAAATAAAATAAAGCCAAAGTTGTAGAAAATGCAATCCAGAACTAACAGAGAACTCCAGATTTGTAGACACAAAAGATATAAAAATGTAAAGTAACTTTCAGCAATTCTAGGTCATATTTTAAAATTGTTTGTTGTTTTATAAAAGCAAAAAATGGCAGATGACCACCAGTGGCTCTTGTGAAAGGAAAGATACTCTTGTGATTAAACTTAGGGAAGCCTGGTACCTTCCAGATAGTCTGACCCAGTAATCAGAATTCTAAACTTTCATCCCCTCTCTGTATCTGATGTACTTATTTTACCTTAATGCAATTTTCCAGCTATGTGCTAGAATGCACATTCTGGTCTCTCTTGCACAAGACAGCTGATCCTCTCTTGGTCAGAGATGGATCTTGGAAAAAAGCTGTATACATGCACAAAATTCTCAAATGGACATCTATTTCGAGAAAAAACACAAACAAACAAAAAAACCCCAAACAAACAAAAAAACCCCCCACAAAACCAAAAAACAAACAAACAAAAACCAAAAAAAAAAGCAGAGGCTTTGCTCCTCTTGTTTCCCAGACATAAATAGTGGAATTTTGTAACTTCCTTCTGGTTCTGATGCATTCTACTCCAGGATGTTTGATCCTAGATGGGGTTTGTTTTATAAACCTCAGGAAGACAACACATCAGTTCCTCACCTGAGAGACAAACACTTCAGCTTCACAGATTTTATGAGCTTTGTCAGTTTATACTGCGGTCTCTTAAGTGTAGGATGTTTTCTATTTTTCATTTGCATTTTACTGAAACTGTTTAAGTTTTGTCATCATCCCTAATAATAGTGTTATTCTTCCTGAATAATTCCAGCAGGATTCACAGCTGCAAGCTAACATCTTTAGGCTCCCTGCTCGGCAATTAGAGATGTTTAATATCAACTGGCTGACCTAGGCAAGATAAAATACCAAAGCAGAAGATACATTTGGGATTCCCCTTAGACATAGTGCAGGCACTTAAATCCAAATCCATTCACAGCTGTGAGCCTTGTCCTGCAGTTAAAAGCACCTAGCATGGCCTGCTCTCCATCTCAAAACCCCCACAAATAGCAAACTGAGGATGTAGCAGGTTTCTTTCTTAGTAAATGATCAGTTAACACTCACAGATGTATGTTCTAAACAATCTGTCTTCAGTCCTTCCCCTACCAGATGCGCAGCAGAGCTCTGAATGCAGATCAGTGCTTTTACACCACCAATGTGGTGTAAAACTCTTTCTCTCTGTAGTCCAGATGAGGTAGATGTAAAAAACTGGTGTTGAGTGCATAAGATGTGGATTAGACAGTACCCAACAGATGAAATATTTTTTTCCAATTCCTGATGCAGTTTGGAAAGTTTGCATAGCACAGGTGCCAGACAATTGAGCACAGTCAAAGATACAGGGAGTTCTGTTTCTGGATGGCAGCAGACCTCTGGGGAACATAGGAAATTTCTTCAATTCCAGAATAAGATGGAACTTAATGGATCCAGATTTTGAGAAGCAATATTTTAAATTACTAGATGCCCAAGTTCTTGGGAATGTTACCAGAACAAAATCTCAGCAGATCCAATTTCTAGGCAGCTCTGCAACAGTTGTAGGGGCTAGTTTTTCTGCTGCATCATTGCATATACATGCAGCTCTAATACATGGACATGAAAAGTCTCTGGAGATTTGTACTGTTTCCTCCACCTAACACAGTTTATATTCTAAGAAAATGAAAGAATTGAAAACATTAAACAGGGAGATCAGTAAAGCTCCATTTGCGTATCTCTATCCATTTATGAAAGTGAGGCTTGAGCAAAACATGGCTTATGATCTAGGAAAACCTTATCAATTATTATCTCTTGGTAAAACTTTTGAAGAAAGATACATTTGATAACAGTTGTTCTCCTATGAGTCAGATCATACTTACACAATGGAATCTGATAAGAAATCTAAAACATAATCCAATGTGAGAGATTACTTAGTCATTAGATTTACTTTCCTTAGTCATGCAGCAGAGAACGAGGGAAAACAAACATACTCAAACAAGGAAGAAAGAAAGTAAATATTTTTTTGTGCAACCTAGCATCCCTGTAGAATAGGTGGGATGGGAATTCTGAAATTTGCAGCTAAACCTGTGTGGTAATGGCTGAAGGCCTTCAGCTGGGAAACACCCACAAAGCTTGGCCAGGGAACTCTTAATGGTTTCAGTGAACCCCAGGTACTGCATGCCTCTTTCTATCATTAGGAAGAACCATAAGAATGTTAAAAGTTATGTGCTGCCAGTGGATTAAACCCAAACACTGCTCAACTCTCAACAAAGGAGAACTTGGGGGGAAATGGAATCTGATTTTCAAGATGTAGCCAAAGGGACTGCTTCTTTCTATAACAGCTCTGCATGCTACCGTCAAAAAACTGACTGCCAAGGGGGCTTCAGAACAGAACTAATTTTATACAGCATTCAAGCCTCTCTTTTTCAGAACACAAGGTAAACTCCTCATTTTGCTGTTTTGAAGTGAGCTGATTACTAACTGATTATGGTAACTTAGCATATCCTGATCTGTGTAAAGCTATGCCATGCTCTTTCACATAAAATAGTGATGTACAGCCTTGCTAGTTTATATTAGCAATTTGTGAGACAATAATTTAAAGTGCTGCAAGTTCCTGATATTGAATCTGAGCAAGTCCTTGGTACAGCATCTGTGAGGTAAGCAGGTGTGGTCAATTCTCCATGTTTACCTCTTTCAAAACAATAGTCACTTTTTATATTT